CGGCGCGCTGGTGCTGAGCTCGCGGCTGGACCGGGAGGAGCTGTGCGGCAAGAGCGCGCCGTGCGCGCTGCGCCTGGAGGTGCTGGTGGAGCGGCCGCTGCGCGTGTTCCATGTGGAGCTGGAGGTCACCGACATCAACGACAATGCCCCCGTCTTCCGTGTGGATGAAGAAGCCCTCAGCATCGCGGAATTGTCTATGCCCGGGTCTCGTTTCCCTCTGGAGGGCGCATCGGATGCGGATATCGGAGCGAATGCTCAGCTCACCTATACACTCAGTCCCAGCGAGTATTTCAGTCTTGATCATCAGGGGAATAATGATCAGAGTGCGTCTTTGGGTCTTATTTTAACGAAAGCTTTGGATCGCGAGACAATTCCTGTTCACCGGTTGGTGCTGACAGCGAGTGACGGGGGCCGGCCGTCTCTGACGGGGACCATGGAACTCGTGATCTCGGTGCTGGATGCAAACGACAATCCGCCCCAGTTCAACCAGTCTGTGTATAAAGTTAAAGTCTTAGAAGGTTCAGAGCTCGGGACTCTGTTAGTCACGCTTAGTGCCACTGATCCTGACGAAGGGATCAATAGCGATATTGTATATTCATTTAGTAGACGTGTTAGTACAAAAGTTGAAGAAATGTTCACTATCGATGAAAACAAAGGAGAAATCAGACTTCAAGGCAAATTAGACTATGAAGAAATTAATAGATACGAGATCCCTGTAGAAGCAAGGGACAAAGGATCCCCCCCACTGTCGGGTCACTGCAAGGTGGTGCTGGAGGTGCTGGACGTGAACGACAACGCGCCGGAGGTGATGGTGACGTCGCTGTCGGTGCCGGTGCCGGAGGACGCGTCGTTGGGGACGGTGGTGGCCCTGCTGAGCGTGTCGGACCGGGACTCGGGGGCGAACGGTCGCGTGCGGTGCTGGGTGTGGCCGGCGTCGCCGTTCGGTCTGGAGGCGACGTTCGCGGGCTCGTACTCGCTGGTGCTGCGCGAGGCGCTGGACCGGGAGCGGGTGTCGGAGTACGAGGTGGAGGTGCGTGCGGAGGACGGCGGGGCGCCGTCGCTGCGCGCCAGCCGCGGGCTG